AGATGGTAAGGGAGCGAGTGGCAGGGCTGTTCCTTGCCAGGATGGCCAGAGGAGGCGAGGACAGCGAGCGCTTCCGGAGGGACCCGGCACAGCCAGCTCCACCTCCCGACACCCGCTAGGCCGGGGCGGGAAAAGACGCAGCCCCAGGGAGCTCCTAACACACGAGGGAGGGAGGCCGAAGGGAAAAGGCTAAGCGCAGCGGGACGGCCTTGCTGGAGGAGGTGCGGAACACAAAAAGGTTGGCAAACCTGCCCTTCAAAACCTCGCCCATCCTGAGAAACCAAGGATGCCGAAATCCTCGAGCCCTCCGGCGCTCTGCAGCACGCATCGCATCGACATGCAGAGGGCCTAGGAATAATTTGTGTGTGCCGAATTGTTCGAGCGAGCTCTCAGTAACTCATTCACCACTGCGGCCAGAATTATTTTTGCCAGTGCCCATAAATGCAAGCACGAACGCAACGGGCAAGCAGCGCTCCCGCTCGCGGCCCACAGCGCGCTTGGCGGCACGCCGAGGTCTCCCAGGAGCCACCGCCTCCGGCCGTGTCTCCCGCTCCTTGCTCACGCAGGCACAGGAGGCAGCAGCCGGAGCGGTTCCGCACCCCAGGCCACCCCATCCCGCGGGATAAAACAGCAACAATTCGGAGCAGTCGCAGGTCAGGCTAGGAGACAAACGCAGCTCCGCTTCATGGCTGCTCCGCTTCTCCCATTTAAACCATCTGCTGCAGTCTGGGACAAAGTTCTACACAAAAAGAAGGCTACTGAGCTAAAGGAAATGCTCGTGTAAGAAAATCCATCAAAATTTACAGAAAAGATTACTTGTATTGGTAACTTAACCTTGAAAGGCTGAGCTGAGGCAAGGGGGGAAAAAGACCAGTCAAAGAGACTAAGAGATGACAAGAGATGCCTCCTCTCAGGTCATAACTCAAGTCACTGAATCAGGTGAAAAGAAATTTTTATTAGTAACCATCTTTGTCCACAGGTCTATCTTTTAGTGAAAAAACGATCTTATTTAAAAAAATAAATAAAAAAATAAAAGACATTCCTGAACATCCCACAGCATACACTGCAGTACAAGGATGCTCACCTCATACCGAACAACTGTTACAATTTCTACTTCACCCGTGTGCTTTAGTGACAAATACATCCAAGCAAAAAAGATACCCCAAACTGGTAACCTAAAAAGATCAGCGCCTTCAAAATTTTTCTTTAGGTCCTACATTGGAACTTACCAAATCAAAGCCTCTTCATCATATTCCACTGCCAAAAGGCATATACTTGTGCTATACATTCCTTGGCAAAAAGCATTAATCTGCTTATTGTAAACACACCTCAACAGCAAGGCTCTCGTTCTATTAGAAACGGATGGAAGTACTAGAAGACTGTTTTAAATCTTGATAAGCATGCAACACTAATCATATTGTGGCTCACCAGGTTTCTCAAGACCAAAATTTTTCTGAAGATTTCCAAACTAAACTTTCCTACCATTCACGCCTTAATTTCTGCAATTGTGAAAACTGCATGTGAAAAGCAACAGAAAACCTAGCTACTAAAATAATTCCAGTAGAGATAAGACTTGGGCTGCTGGACTGCAAGTTATCTCCACGGCTTGAATCAGTCACTGAACTCATTTCCTTCTCTGAATAAAAAATGCTGAAATTCAAGGAAAGACATTTTACTTTTTAAATACTCCTCACGATGTGGTTGTAGTTTTATTATGCCTTGATCAAATAGAGAGGCTTACATATTTACTTCTTTTTCCAAAATATTTTTTCCCACCAAATCTACAATTAAAAGTTTATAGTCTTCCATTGTACAGAACAATGTTTCTGAGATAACCAGCATGACCCTTTCACAGAAGGCAATGTCTTTGGGACAAGAAATCTCAGGCAAAACTGCATTACACTAGTATTTTTTTGATAATAAAAAAATCCATTACAGCTAGCTCTCTGCTATCTTTTAAATAGTTTTAACTATTGGTTCATGATGGGCAATGGGCAATGTGCTCCAGGGAAAAAAAAACCAAAAAAAAACAAAAAAAAAAACCACAGAAGTAATGAATTTCTTATTTGTTTCACTTCTGATTGTTTCTACTGTCTCCACCTCGCACTCAAAGGAAGTCCTCTAGATAAGGCATGAGACAAAAACTAAAGCACAACATCTGTAGAATTAAAATAAAACCAAAAACTTCATTTCCTAAATGTATTTAAAGCTACCTTTTCAGCAAATTGGGAAAAAAAAACACACTTTCACAAAATATGAATCTGATTACTTATAGATCCAGTTTATCATCACTATCTCCAGACTAGATTAAACTAAAATCTAGTTTCCCCCTTCCAAATTACAAGATAGTTCTCTACGCACCAAGAAATCTAAACCCTGGCCCTAATACCCAGAAGCATAAGTACATGATTTTTTTGCCGTGGAAGGTTCCAATGTATCTTTAAAATTATCTTGAAATTTACATTTACATGATTTTGCCCTTGTGCTCTGATATTTCTGATATGCTCCAATATTTCAGAGCATAAAGTCAAAATTGTTCCAGGTTTATGCTCCTGTTATTTCAGAGCATAAACCTGGAACACAGGTTTAAGGTCTTAATATCTACAAATATATTTCATTTTTATTCCATCCTCTATAATCAAACTGAACTGACAAATTTCTAAAGCTTTTTTTTTTTCCTAAACGTACCATTTCTGTGACTTCAGGAATTTTCTTGCCCATATTACAAAAATAATAGAAAACTCACCATAATGATCATGAAATGAGAAAACAGTCTCACCTGTCACTGGTTCCAAAATCAGCTGGCAAAAATCTTAAGCTGAGAGATGTCACATTTGTTAATTAAGCAGATAAAAATGAGGACTCTACATTTCATAACTGTCCGGTATATTTTCCAGCTTTACTCTTCAAAACTTAAGACCAGTGATAGTTTGTCTCGTAAGAACACACAAATAGTCAGTATTTCAATTATCTTCAGAATAGACTCTAGTTACACAAAAACAGCTTTTTTTTAAAAAAAAAAAGAAATTTGCATAAGTCTTTACTGTATAAGAATCCCCTCTAGTATTTTCACATTCTAATACAACAGAATTGGCTGAAATATGGATTCCTGCTTCAGCAGGTATCATGCTAGAGTTGAAAGAAAATAATCATCCCTTGCCCCGGGAAGTGCTGCCTGATGTTATCACTGACACAAACCTTCTGCCACAAAAAGCTCACATTTACAGTAGTAACGGAGGCTTTATATTTTTCAGAGTCCTAGGTGAAGGCAGACCAACTTTATCCATAACCTTAAGAGAAACGAGTAATCTGCCTTTTCTTTTAGGGGAAGTTAACCAGTAGATCTTACTCTGAGTATTCAGAGTCATTTGAATTTGGCAAGACCACACACAAAATGGTCTTGGATGGCAAAGCTGGATGTCTTGTCCAGCAATGTATGTCTTGAACACATTTGATAATGTCTTTAAGTTATAGAACTATTAAGACTTTGAAACAGACAGAGGCACACTGTTTTTTCTTCCTTGTTCTGATCTAGGATATTATTGTTTCTGCTTCTTTTTATTATTATTATTAAAGTTAATGCCAAAAGAACTATCCACATGATCTTTTAACATGGCCTCCTTCCAGGTTTATAATCTTTACTTAATCAGTAAACATCATCTTCTTTGTTATCTACTTAAGCTTTTAAATACAAGATTAACTATTAATGTATTAATTATACATCTGCTTTTCTTTGTGGAAAACGTGCTTGATCTTGTCAGTTGTAAGAAAGAAAAATCATTTTAATTTTTCAGCTAGTTCACCTTTACCTTTTCTACTTTTCTAATTTTCAACCAATGTGGAACTCCACTAGTTATAGCAAGCAGAATACAATTGATACTTCTTTTAAAGGCAGAAATAGTGGCAAAAAGGTCACGGGACGCAGTCTCTGCAAACTGACCGACCGCAGCGCAGCCACCTCTTGCCACCACAGTGAGGGACCTTCACCATACAGTGTTGAGCACTTTAAAAGCAGTGGTAGCTGCTAGGTTTCCTCACGCACAGCCACTGGGTACCTCACGCTAACAGAGTGTCTCGTTGCACACCTTGGGTTTCTCACGCTGCACAAAATGTGCTACTCACGTGGGCACCGCGGCGCCGTGCAACGCTACGAGAGCGCAAAACGGCTTCGACAAACCCGTAACCTAAATGGCAGCAGCCCCGAGCACAGTGGCAGCATTCAAACAAGGTAAATATTTGTTCAAGCAGGAGAGCTGCTTTCCCAAGGCTGAGGCTGCAAGCACAGCACTCAGGCAGTGAGGCACACTTTTAGTCCTGAAACAGACTCGTAAGGATCGAATTCTCTTCTCCAAATACAAAAACCTCATTCTTACCAACTTTGCAGGAATTATATAAACACAAATATCTATGGGCACTATTGTGCTCAAAAGCATGTAGCTCGTGATCACTGTTTTCCCTATCAGATACATGAAATAAAAACACAATTAAAGCTATTTTTCATTTTGCTATGAAAACCCTCTGTACTCCACAAACCAAACTAAGTAATGAGAACAAACGGTTCCCAGGCACCAAAGGAGAGTCAGCTACTACTAATCTGAAGTAAAATGTGTTATTAGCAAGCTGACTTGTAACGGCAGTTACAATCTCTTTCAGATCCTTTTTCCCTTGAAAGACATTTTTAAAACAAGATGTTTTAAAATAAATCTTTATTAAAAGGGCTCCTTTTATTTCCCTCCCAACACACAAAAGCAGATAAAATAATACCAGAAAGAGGCATTACCATTATCACAGAAGGCCTCTTTTCATACATTAAAAAAATAACATTTCAAAAGCATTAAGGAAAGCTTGTGTTTGAACAATTTTCATGCTTGCATACTTAAAGGAAAACATTTAGATAAGCTTTGTGTTATTTAATTCAGAGAATAAAAATGCATTATCTGTTGAATAATAATGTCAGTAAAAATACTTAAAAATATTTTCTTTTATTTAGGTACACTTACTGCAATCTCTCTACAGGCCGACATGGATATCCCTGTACCTTCAATTTGCTTCAGTGCATATTCCTTTTCATCTTTTCTGTACACAGAGCGGGGAAAAAGAAGAAAGAGAGGAATAGTTTAGCGCTGATTTATACCACACCAATAAACACAGATATAATGATTTATTTTAACTCTGTCTATATGAAGAAACTGAGATCTGGCTTATGTACCAATCTGTTTTATGCATTAATTACACTAAAACGTTAAAAGCAGGTCTTCCTTTAACACAGACTTCAAAAATTACCAACAAAACTCCTATAGAAATAAGCTTTCTTAACCCATATATCCATTTCTCTCTGAAATCATGCTGATACCTGCGAACATATCTGTAGGAAGTCACCTGCCTGCAATTCTAGGACACTGTCTATTGTCATAAAACAAAAGCACATGCACATTTCAAGCTTAGAAATATCTAGGAACTACTTATTTGATTTTGTGAGTCACCGACGATCAACTTTTAAAATAACATTATGTTTTAAAGTTATACTTCTTGGAAGAACACGAACTTCCTCATGAGAGTTGGTACTTGCCAAGATACAAGCAGGGAACTGCTGTAAAGGATTCTCAGGACAGACCCCTCCGCAGTGTATGAGGTTGTGCGCCCAGGACACACAAATGTGCTCCTGAACATGCTGTCATCCCCTTAAATAACCATAGTTTGAAGTCATTTATAGGAAAGACCAAACAGGACAAGACGGCAGAGTACTATCTCAAAAACTTTTGGGATGGAATTTAACCAACCTACTGTGTACGCTGCTCTATAAGCATCAATTTTTGACCCCCTTTCCCACCATCACTCACAATTCTCATGCACTTAGGCGGACTTGCCAGTTACAATTTCCAGACAATTTAGCAGCCCACAACATCCATCCAAATTCCCCACAACATTTGTGGTAGGTTTGGGTTTCCCCCAGACCACTACCCTTTTGCCACCCTGAAAAACTGAACTGAGTTAGTCTCGGCCTCTCTTGCCTCAGACTCCTCTTCTGTGTCCTGCCCAGTTCAGCCTCTTCACCAGCCTCCTCCAGAGGCGCCATCTCGGAAATCCATGGGACAAGGAGCAGCTCAGTGGAAGAAAACAGTGAGGGGGGTCAGACGGAAGAGAAAGTACCCAGAAAACACCTATACATATTAGTAGCTACAGATGATCCTTTTTATGAGCAAGTTTTGTAGCAGTTAAGACTACAAAGTATATCATCCCCTCATATACGGTTCTGGCAGCGACGCAGGACGTTTATGTAAGCCGCAAAGCACTAATGCCATCACTCGGGCAGTTAACCAAGGCCACAAAGACAAAGATTGTGCTGTCTGCAGAACCAGAAACCTTTGCAGTTGGTCAGATTTCACACTAGGGCCGCAGTTTTAACCTAGACAGCACGTTTACCTGCATGCCAAGGCTGTACAGCCAGAACAGCACTGCAGTAGGCCCTACTCTGGGCAGTGCTGTTTAGCCGTGTACAGCAGCTCCAGCAGGACTCGCACCCACTCAGCTGGGCAGACGCCACCAGGACACGCAGCGAGATGTGCATGGGCTGAAGGACACAGCAGGAACCGAGGGAACTGCTGGGGACACACCGCATGCAACAGCGGCCATCGGTGCCAGCACCGCTGCAGGGCTGCCACCGCTTAACAGGCAGTCGTGCTCCACAGCACACCAACCAGAAATGCTAAAAGTTGTTGTTGTTCCGTTTCTGTTGGGTATTTTTTGAGCCACCTTTAATTATAACATAGAAGAGGAGCTTGCAAAGCAGAAAACAACACACTTCCAGGACACCAGGTTTTGCAAATGGTCAGGAAAGGGGGTAAGTGGGTAACAAAATACTTAGCTAAAGGAAACGGGTATCAAAGATGCCATATCCCAGCTCTCCCATATCTAGATCCCCCATAGTTCCAATTTCTAAACGTAGCCTCCTTTAAATACATACCACTTACTTGCTCTGCCAGAAATGCAAGTCTATATGAATACTTTTACTAAAGTTAAAGGTTCTTATTATGTAAGCATAATAGCTGTTTAAAGTACTTTCCTGAAGGACCCCCATCAAGTGGTATTTTAAAACACTATTTCCCATTTAAGGGTAACCTCAAGGTATTTTGAGAAATACATTTGAAAGTTCACCCTCCAGTCAGCTGATGCAGTCTGATGAAATATGCAATTGTTTGCTCAATAAACTGTTTGCTGTTTGCATATTAAATAGGTATTAAATGGCCCAAGGAAAAAAAATAGGTAATTGATTAGCTATTTCTCTACTCATTAGAGCTCAATGAATAAGGCAAAAATTTAAGTTACAAGTAAGCATTTGCTCAGCCCCCTGCAGACCCTTAAGGCACTCGTGGCGGGAAGGGGGAGGCAGGAGGTGGCCTTTCATCATGATGCTGGGCACGCAGAAAACATCCAGCCAACTTGAAACACTTTTTGAGAACTGGTACTGGGTTAGACAGCAGGAAAGCTTTCACAAAGGCCCCTCTGGCAGATCTCTATCAGCACATTTCTCTCCACAGAGCAGAGCAAGTGCAATTACGCTCAAAAATCCCAAGCCACCACCAGCACCGCGCAGCTACGATGCCAGGGACTGCCAGGCAGAAGCGTCTGCGCCAGGGCCACCCAAATCCTACACCAGGTAGGAGGCCAACTAACTTTCAAGATAGTTCTCAGTGAGTTTGTCTAAGTGCAAGGAATAAGCGGCGGAGACCAAAGTTCAGCGGAGCAGCGCTTAACACGCGCACACACAGATCCTCCAAAGGTGGCAATGTGCCTCACCGAGCTGGAGCAAAGAATGTACTGAAACATAACTGAGAAGAAACTCTATTCTTTAAACGGGAAAGCTGCAACTCTATGAATTTTATTATAGCTTTTCAAAACACATGCATTAGAATGTAATTGATAAATAGAATGCATACCATGTGCCACAACCACAAGCTCATCTCAGGGGTGGAAGCCCTCTTTAGCCCAAATTATGGGGAATACTAAAGAAACACTGTTTCTAGTTCCAGAAGCACTGCAGCTGATGGGATTTCATTAGAAATGAGCTTCAACACAAATGAAAAAAATCAATATAAGTTAGGCCCCATCCTCAAAACCTTCCTGACTCTCTATGTCAAATTACCATAGGCAGCGTCCAAACGCAAGGGCCCTCAAGCAGACCAGTGATAGTCCAGAGCATCTCTGTCTCCTCAAAATAAATTCACGGCAATAATGTGATCTTTCTGCCCAAGTTTTCCTCCCTCACTAATAAAGATCCCACTCCAAAAATCCTTAGGGTTAAGCATCTTAACAGTGAAAAGGAAAACGCTGTCAACAAAATTTTACTCATCTGGCTTAGGTTCATAATACAAAACGTTCAGTATTCATTGATCATTTCTTCTCCTGAAGGACACTTTCAACTTCCATTTCCCCGAGGTTTTAGAAAGAAAAAAAAATATCAAGTCCATCTTGTAAGTGTGCAGTTCAGGACTCCAAAAAATAATTAAAATGTTTCAAAGAAGTTAAATTACTTCAACTATTGTCGCTGTACTTCAGAGTACTTCCCTCATAGGAGCCATTTTATAAAAAAGCCAGTGAACACTTAGCAACAACTTTCTGAAGACTGTAAGAGTAACTAGAAAGACTTGAAGTTTCTGCATGGCTCAAACTATTGTTTTATCCAAATTATTCAATTTTAGACTTTTGAGAATGAGTTCAAGAATTCACCTCTAATTTAATATACATATCCAATTCATAATTAGTTATCCACATCAAGGAAAACTCCCAGAAAACTGCACAGGTGCAAAAGGAGCAACTACTGTATCAGTTAATTCAGAGACTAAAATCACTCCAGTAATTTTCTGAAAACGCACAATAAAATCTTTCAAGACCAGTGGAAAAGCCCCCAGTCCACCCTTGCAAACAGCACTCAAGAGTTAAAGTTATCGCAATTCTGTAAGACAGAACTGGGAAAATTGGAGCCGAGAGTCCCTCAAAGGCGAATACAGTCCCGTAGCCCGTAACAGGAGGACGATAGAGAATTTGAGCTTGCTACGCTCAAATCAAGTTGTTTAATGCTGACACACAGCATTAAGCTTGGCAGCCAGCAAGAGATCAGCAGAGAGAGTTACAAGCCCCTTTCACTCCCCTCAAGTGAAGTCAAAACCGTGAGACCGAAGCACACCAAGAAATTAACTGGAAAACCCCATGCACTATTTAAGCATAGATATCAACTGTTCCCAGGGCACAGCCAGTGAATCAGTCCTACTCAGTGCTGGTTAACATAGGCAAACTGCTGAAAAGGTCAAAAGGCCGAAAACTGCCTGCAAAAGGTACCTGTAACGCCCCCCAGAAACTGGAGGCTTCTTGGTTCAGGGCATCCCAAGAGCTACAGATTGGAACAGCTGCTTCCACCAAACTTCTACCTCGTTCTGTCACCTCAGAAGCTCCTTGGTTTTATGTGTAAACTGTAGCTCTGATGAGCAAAAGAAGCAAGAAACAAATGCATGGGACTACTTGGGCCATAACTGAGAAGGGCTTACAATATGGTCTATTCCACGTTGTCTAATAATTTCAGTAGTAATTTCATTTTTAGCAATATAGCATATTCACACCAGGGACATCAGTGCTCACAATGGCCTTCAAAATCTGAAGTAATTTCTGAGAAGGTTAAAGAGCAAAACCAAATAGAGCAACAAAAATGCATCAAAAGCTGTCCTGCATTCAGCAGTTTAAACAGCAGTCATTTGTGGAATAAAAAAGTAGTTCTTATATAAAAATATGCCAAGTTTATTTAAGCCTCCCCTTCCCTCCCGCTCCCCCCCCCCCAAAATCACTTCAGGACCAAAAAAAAAAAAAAAAAAAAAAAACATTGGCAGCACCTGTGCGTGCTGAACAAGTCCTCATTTTTTCCCCCTTTACTTTTCATAGATGGCTATAGGAAACAATGTTCTTCAAAGTATTCAAACAGGTTTAATAGCCTTTATAAAGCAACCTATAGCTAGAAATTACAAAGGGAATAGCAAAGCACAAACCAGCAGAAATATTTTCTGGGAAACTAAGAAGAAAATACTG